CAGCAAAAGATCAAGTAATAAATAGCCACAGCTGGTAGTGGAACAATTGGTTGAAGGGTATCCAGTAGAAGATTTCATGAGGTTCCCTAAATTCATTTCAGAAGACACTAAGAATTCAGTGAGATTAGCTACGTTGGCGTGCAAAACTTGTTTCAAACCATGAACGAGATAATGGCCAACAAGCTATAATTGGCTGAGCCAAATATAACAGCAGCAGGAGAAAGATCAAGAATGAAAGGGAAATTATGCTTGACAAAGTCACCAGAGTTCTGTGAGGAGAAACAAACATAGTTAATAAAGGTGAACTCGTTGATGTAGTATGTTTGGATTTCCAGAAGGCATTCGATGAAGGTGCCACTTAAAAAGTTCTGTCTTGGAGGAGACAGTGGAGTGTAATGTATCCAAATTTGCTGTTGATAGAAAAGTATGTGGGACGGCATGTTGTGACTGGGATATAAGGAGTCTGCAAGAGGATATAGATTGGTTGAGTGAGTGGGCAAAAACTTGGTAGGTGGAGTTTAATGTAGGAAAGTAGAGGTAACACACTTTGGTGATTAAAAGACAGACTGTACCTAAATGGAGAGAGACTCCAAAAAGTGCATACACAGAGGGATCTGGATGTCCTTGTGCATGAAATGTAAGAAGTTAGCATACAGGTACAGCAAGTAATTTAAAAAAAGTGAATAGAATTTTGGCCTTCATTTAAATAAGGAAGCCTTGTTGCAAATGTACAATGTGTGAAGTTCCAGAAGACTGGAGGATGGCTAAAGTTGTTCCACTGTTTAAGAAAGGGAGCAAAGACAAGCCAGGGAACTACAGGCCAGTGAGCCTGACGTCAGTGATAGGCAAGCTCTGGGAGAACATACTGAGGGACAGGATCAACCAACATTTGGATAGTCAGCATAGATTTGTGTGCAGGAAGTCATGTCTGACAAGTCTGAGTTTTGCGAAGAGGTAACCAAGAGGATGGATGAGGGTAGGGCAGTGGATATTGTCTATATAGACTTTAGTAAAGCCTTTGACAAGGTCCTGCATGACAAGCTAGTCATGAAAGTTAGGTTGCGTGGGATCCAGGGAGAGCTAGCTAATTGGATTCAAAATTGGTTTGATGGTAGGAAGCAGAGGTTGAGAAGACTTTCCACATCAAGCAGATGTTCACCTGCACATCTGCTAATGTGGTATACTGCATCTGCTGTTCCCGTTGTGGCCTCCTCTACATCGGGGAAACTAAGCGGAGACTTGGGGACCGCTTTGCAGAACACGCTCGGTTCGCACTAAACAACTGCAGCTCCCAGTCGCGAACCATTTCAACTCCCCCTCCCATTCTGCAGACGACATGTCTATCCTGGGCCTCCTGCAGTGCCACAACGATGCTACCCGAAGGTTGCAGGAACAGCAACTCATATATTCTGCTTGGGAACCCTGCAGCCCAATGGTATCAATGTGGACTTCACAAGCTTCAAAATCTCTCCTCCCCCTACCGCATCCCAAAACCAGCCCAGCTCGTCCCCGCCTCCCTAACCCGTCCTTCCTCCCACCTATCCCCTCCTCCCACCTCAAGCCCCACGCCCATCTCCTACCTACTAACCTCATCCTGCCCCCTTGACCTGTCCATCCTCCCTGGACTGACCTATCTCCTCCTTAGCTCCCCACCTACACTCACCTTTACTGGCTCCATCCCCGCCTCTTTGACCGGTCTGTCTCCTCTCCACCTATCTTCTCCTCTATCCATCTTCTATCCGCCTCCCCCTCTCTCCCTATTTATTTCAGAACCCCCTTCCCCTCCCCCATTTCTGAAGAAGGGTCTAGGCCCGAAACGTCAGCCTTCCTGCTCCTCTGATGCTGCTTGGCCTGCTGTGTTCATCCAGCTCTACACCTTGTTATATCGGTGATGGTTAAACGTTGTTTCTTGGGCTGGAGGCCTGTGGCTAGCAGTGTGCCATAGGGCTCAATGCTGGGACCTTTGTTATTTACATAAATGATCTGGATGTGAATGTACAAGGCATGATTAGTAAGTTTGCGGATGATACAAAATAAGGAGATATCATTGATAGCGAGGAAGGTTATCAAAAATTAGAGGGCTCTTGATCAAATGGGGAAGTAGGCTGAGGATTGGCAAATACAATTCAATACAGACAAATGCAAGGTGTTGCACTTTGGAAAGTCAAACCAAGGTAGGACTTATACAGTAAATGGTAAGGTTCTGAGTTGTGTTGTGAAACAGAGGGACCTAGTATTACAAGTACATAGTTTGTTGAAAGCGGCATCACAGGTGGACAGGGTGGTGAAGAAGCATTTAGCATGCTAGCCTTCATTGGTCGAGGCATTAAGTACAGGAGTTGGGACATTGTTACAGTTGTATAAATCATTGGTGAGACTGCACTTAGAGTATTGTGTACAGTTTTGGTCACCCTTTTATAGGAAAGACATAGTTAAACTGGAGAGGGTGCAAAGAAAATTTGAGGATGTTGGCAGGGCTAATAGACCTGAGTTAAAGGGAAAGGTTCAACAGGATAGGACTTTATTCCTTGTAACATAGGAGAATGAGGGGTGTCCTTATTGATGTGTATAAAATCATGAGGGGCATAGATAAGATGAATGCATATAGTCTTTTTCCCAGGGATGTGGAGTTGAAAATTAGAGGGCATAGGTTTAAGGTGAGTGGGGAAAGATCTAAGGAGGTCCCGAGGGGCAACTTTTTCACACAGAGAGTAGTCCGTGTATGGAATGGGCTGCCAGAGAAAGTGGTTGAGGCAGGTATAATAGCAATATTTAAAACAACATTTTGAATAGGTACATGGATGGGAAGGGTTCAGAGGGATACGGACCAAATGCGGACAATTCAAACTAGCTGAGTTGGCACAGTGGTCAGCCTGGAACAGTTTAGGCCGAAGGGCCTGTTTCCATGCTGTATTACTCTATGGCTCTATGACTGTGTATGTGAGGCCACACCCGGAGTACTGTGTAGAGGTTTGGTCCCTATATGCTTTTTTTTTTTAAAAAAAAAATGGCATCGGAGGCAGTTCAGAGATTCACTAGGCTAATTCCTAGGATAAGGGATTGACTTAACAAGAAAGGCTAAACAGATTTGGCCCTTATACATTAGAATTTAGCAGAATGGATGGTTATTTCATTGAAACACACAATATTCTGAGGGGTCTTGACAGGGTAGATGTTGAGAAGGCATTTCCACTAATGGAGGAATCTGCAAACTGGGGGACGTAGGTACAGATTAAAGGGACACTTTTTAAAGCTGAGATGTGAAGGAACTTCTCCCAGCGTTGAGAGAGCCAATGAGTTGTGTATCCTACTGGAGCTCATTGAATCTTCAACTGAAATATCTCCAGAATGTAACACAGCTTGATAAACCAATTAATTATGACAGATTTAAGTCTAATGTCAGATGCTTACTTGAGGAAGGATATAATTATATTAGAAACAGTTCAGAGGAGGGTTCTAGATTAATTGCAGAGTTGAAAGGCTTGTTTTATGATGAGAGATTGACCAGTTTAAGAATAGTCACTAAAGTTTGGAAGGATGAGAGCAGATTTTATCGAGGTATGGAAGATGTTAAAGGGCATTGACTAAGTACGTGTAGAGTGGAATCTTCCCCTTGGGCAATCTGGACCAAGAAGTCACAATTTCAAGTTAATGGCTGGCATATTTAAAAACATGAGAAGGAATAGCATCTCTCTCAAAGGGCTATGAATCTATGGAATTCGCTACCCCATAGTGTTGGATGCCAACACTGAATAAAGTTGAGGAGATAGACAGACAGATTTTTAATTAATAATTGGTTAAAGGGCTGTGGAGAATGAACAGCAAAGTGGAATTGAAGCAGAGGTGAGATCAGCCATGATCGTTTAATTTGCTGGAGCAGGCTTGAGGGTCTGAATTACCTACTCCTGCTCCTAGTTCTTATGTTCTTATGCTGAGATGATTGAGAAGATGCAAGATCCAACAGAGAATTTCCTTTCCTTATCTTCATCTTAGGAAGACAGAGATCATACTAAGTAAGAAGCAAATAGCACAATCGAGGAAGTGAACATGGTGGGTTCACCAATACTGCTGAATGAAAGACAGAATGAACATGTTGAAGAAAAAACACAACACACTTCAACGCTGATTCATCAGAAGATTGAGAATTGAAAATCTGATACTGTTTGAAGTTGTGGGAAAAAACACCAAGAAAGGACATCCAATGCCAAGACGTCCATGATATGGTCAGGAAGTTGCCTGTTTGAGATCCAGAATGCACCTGAAAAAATTTGTGCAATTTCATAATCCAAAATACTGCAAGAAAGAAATCCTATTGTTAACAGGATAACTGTCCTTTTTGAGGAAAATACATGATGGTATCGTTCTTCTAGATGTTGCAATGAAACAGTTTCCTGTTTTAGGAGGAAAGACCTCCACTGTGAAGGAGGTCCAAGAAATTAAAGATCTTCTCAGCCTAAGGTCTGAAAGTCCCTTAAAATATCAGGGAAAGAAGGAGTCATTAGTCTTCAATCCAAGAATCTATTAGTCTTCTAAATTCAAAGAGAACATGTTCTGGGAAAATAGTGATACCTCTGGACCACCTGAATTTTAGAAGTCAACTTTGGAGAAGTTAATTATGATACTATACATGTGTAATATCAACAATAGAAAAATGTTTGGGGACATCTTGTATAACTGTGTAAGATTCTGAAAGGGTTCATATTGAATGCCTTAAGTGCAATCATTGAGGATATCACAGACTTGGAGGAAGAAGCAGCTTAGGATTTCAGTGGAGTAAGAACTACCATTAGGTCCTGCATAACAATGACTGTCCTATCAATGTAACATGTACTTGATTGCTAGCATGCAATGAATGACATCTTGTTTAAGCCAAAAGGTTCCTCTTAGATTAACAAATTATTTTCCTCTACCACATCAGGCCAGACAGCCCTTACTCTGTATGGAGGCAGCAAGTCTACCCTGTGGTGAGCAATAGCAGACGCAGCCTCGTACAAGGTGATCTGCATTGAAGATTGCCCTTGAAACATTGACCTTTCTATTTTAGTCCAATGTTTGAGTGATTCTTTTCAAGGTTTACTTTTTTTGAGCAAAGCTCTACCACCACCGCAGTTTCTGTGAAATTAAAGAAAGCTGCAAAATTGATAATACTCATATTTTGTTTTCCAGGCAAGTGAAGAGTGCAAAAATCCACATACTGTTAACAGAATCCCAATGGGAAAATTGCCACATATGTGGGGACAATCCTTGTACATCTTAGGATGTCTTGTATCAGAGGTAACCCAATTCTAAAACAATGCTGTAATAATAATAATAATAATAATAATAATTATTTAGCTATTTACACCAAATAATAACTTTGGACCATGTGGTGTAAGACTATGTATTCACAGCATATGTATCTGACAATCTCTTCAGCTTTGTGGTAAGAAATGTATTTTGCTTACCTGTTAAAACTACAGGCCAGCTGAATCCCTACATTAGTGCTGTGTGATATTCTTTTGTTAGCATAGATCAAATGGGTCCAGATAGTTGATTTCATAGAAACATGTGCTGAAGTTGCATGTTTTATTTTTGTGTGCTGAACTTCTTTGGTTTGATCATGTAGATTCATAAGATTAATTTCTTTTCAGATTTTGCTTTGTTTTCCTCAGTCACCCGACTTCAGACAAGATTCTTTTTCATTCTCATTTTCACCATCATCTATAGCACTGCTCAATATTGCTCTCCGTTAAGCTCAAAATAGTGGAGAATTGGCCAAGATGTAAGATCAGAGAAGCACCCAACCTCTGTAGCTTCCTTACAGGATAGTTATGTTGATAGTGTCTGAATGTCTTATTAATAACATAGCATTTTCAGAAATCTGCTGTTGAACCAGGTGTGGTTGCTGACCCTCAGCAAATATTTGCAAAGACTTGAGCCTCTAATTAGTGTATCCTTGTCAGCACAGTTTTGATTCAAAGAACTCAATTTATACAATGTAATGCAACAAAGGGCATAATATGAACAGCTCTCAGCTGAACCTTCTAAAAGTGATTGTTGTTAATGTGAAAAGATAGGCAGGGATGAGATATTATGCTGCATGTGAATGCATTGCTTGTCCCATCAATGCTTACGATCATGCTCATTCCAACAAGAGTGTTGAGAACTGCAAAGTGAAGTGCTGACTCTGATCAAGTGTATCCTTTCCCAACCATGAGGCCAACTGTGAAATGAATTGCTATCCCACCTGAGTTCAACAAGCTGACACAAACAAAAAATTACTTTTCAAGTGTTTCTCACCTGGATTAGCTACACATTGTCTGTACTTAAAAGGAAAGGAGAAGAATGTTAAGAATGAAGAATAACAGCATTGGAATGGATTCCTTAGGCCACGAAGCCTGCACTGACACATGAAGCTTTTCTAAAATTAAAAACATTTTGCCTCCATGCAGTCCATACCCCCTCTATTCCCTGCCTGTTAATGTATCTGTTAAGAGCTTCTTAAACATCACTATTGTATCTGCTGCTACCACCTCACTTGGCAGCGCATTGCACTCACTTAACACCTTCTGCGTTTTTAAAAAAAAAAAACTTGCTTCTCACATCTCCTCTAAACTTCACCCTTTTACCTTAAACCTATGTTCCCAGTAATTGACATTTCTACCCTGGGAAAAATATTCCGACTATCCATTCTGTCCATGCCCCTCTCAATTTTATAAACCTCTATCAGGTCGCCCCCTAAGCTTTCAATATTTAAATGAAAGCAAACCAAGTTTGTCCAATCTCTTGTGATAGCTAATATCCTCCAAACCAGGCAATGTCCTGGTAAATCCTTTATGTACTTTATCCAAAGCTTCTTTATCCTTCTGGTAGTGTGGCAACCAGAACTGTATGCAATATTCCAAATGTGGCCTAAGTGAAGTTCTATACAGCTACGGCATGACTTGCCAATTTTTATACTCTATGCCTCGACCAGTGAAGACAAGCATGCTATACGCATTCTTGACCACCTTGTCCACTTGGGTTGCCACATTCATGGAATTGTAGATTTATACGCCAAACTCCTTCTCTATCTTAATGCTTCTAAAGGTTCTGCCATTTACTGTATACTTCCCTCCTGCATTAGACCTTCTAAAATGCATCACCTCACATTTGTCTGGATTAAATTCCATTTGCCATTTCTCCATCCAAGTTTCCAGCCTATCTATATCCTGTTGTATCCTCTGGCAATCCTTCTCACTATTGCAGCTCTCCTAACCTTTGTGTCATCTGCAAACTTATTGATCAGGCCATCTACAGTTTCCTCCAAATCATTTATGAATATTTATTAAAAATAGCAAGGGTTCCAGGACTGATCACTGTGCAACACCACTGGTCAGAGTTTTCCAGAGGGTCCCGCCTCTATTCTTTGTCTTCTATGACAAAGCCAATTCTGTATTCATGTTACCAGCTCACCATGGATCCCATGTGACTTCACCTTCTGTATCAGCCTGCCATGAGAGATCTTGTCAAAGCCCTTGCTAACTCCTATATAGATATTATCTACCACCCTGCCCTCATCAATCATCTTTGTCACTTACTCAAAAAAACTTAGTCAAGTTTGAGAGACACAACTTCCCCATCACAAAGCCTTGCTGCCTATTGCTAATAGGCCCATAATTTTCCAACTGTGAATAAATCCTGTCTCTAAGAATCTTCTTCAGTAACTTCCCTACCACTGATATAAGACTCACTAGCCTGGAATTTCCCAGATTATCCCTGTTGCCCACCTTAAAGGAACAACATGGGCTATTCTCCACTCCTTTGGGACCTTGCCTGTGACTGAAGAGGATACAAAGATTTCATACAAGGCCCCTGCAATTCCCTCCCTTGTCTGCCTCCGTATTCTGGGATAGATCCAAACAGGTCCTGAGGACTTGTCTATCTGCTTTTCAAAACACCCAACACCACCATCTTTCTTTATGCATCAACATACCACTTTCTAGACTCACCATTAACCATGTCCTTCTCCGTTGTGAGTACCGATGCAAAGTATTAGTTACGGACATCACCCACATCCTCAGGCTCTATGCATATATTTCCTTGAATGGACTTACCCTTTCTTTAGCTACCCTCTTGCGCCTTTATATTTAAAAAAAAACCTTTGGATTTTCCTTAATCCTGTTTGCCAAGGATATTTCGTGGCTTCTTTTAGCCCTTCTAACTCCAGTTCTTTATATTCCTTGAGGACTCTGTCTTCAGTTTCCTAAGCCTTAAGTATGCCTCCTTTTTCTTTCAACTAAGCTCTTAATTTCCCTTGTCATCCAAAGTTCCCAAATCTTGCCATCCTTGTCCTTCGCTTTCACAGGAACATGCTAGTCCTGAATTCTGATCAACTGGCGTTTAAAAGATTCCCACACGACAGATGTAGATTTACACTCAAACAGCCACCGTCAATATACGTTCTTCAGTTCCTGCTTAATGCTGTCATAGTTCGCCTTCTCCTAATTTAGTACTTTCATCTGAGGACTACCCTCCTCCTTATCCATAAGTAACTTGAAACTTATGGAATTATGCTCAATGTTCCCAAAACGCTCCCCTGCTGAAATTTTTGATCACTGGGTGTTGCATTTTGTTAAGGCAAAGCAGGGTAGGACTTATCCTGTTAATGGTAGGTCCCTGGGAAGTGTTGCTGAACAAAGAGACCTAGGAATGCAGGTGCATAATTCCTTGAAAATGTAATCATAGGTAGATAGGGCAGTGAAGAGGCATTTGGCACGTTTGCCTTCATTAGCCAGAACATTGTGTATAGGAGTTGGGACATCATGTTGCAGCTGTACAAGACATTGGTGAGGCCACTTTTGGTGTACAATTCTGGTTGTTCTTCTATCAGAAGGATGTCATTAAACATGAGAGTGTGCAGAAAAGATTTACAAGAATATTGCCGAGACTGGAGGATTTAAGTTAGAGGGAGAATAGGCTGAATAGGCCTGGGCTTTTTTCTCGGGAGCATTGGAGGCTGAGGGGTGATCTTACAGAATTTATAAAATCATAAGGGGCATGAATAGGATGAATAGCCAAGGCCTTTTTCTTCAAGTAGTGGAGTCTAAAAGTAGAGGGCATAGATTTAAGATGAGAGGGGAGAGATTTTAAAAAGGACCTGAGGGGCAAATTTTTCATGCCGAGGGTGGTGCGTGTTTGGAATGAACTGCCAGAGGAAGTGGTGGAGCAGGGTACAATTGCAACATTTAAAAGACATCTGGATGAGTATATGAATAGGAGGGATTTAGAGGGATATGGGCCAAATGCTGGCAAATGGGACTAGGTCAGATTGCAATGTCTGGTCAGTGTGGATGAGTTGGACCGATGGGTTTGATTCCGAGCTACGCCCTGGCCTGGCTCGTTCCCCAATACCAGGTCTAGTATGCCGCTTTCCTAAGTTGACTATTCACATATTACTTCAAGAAACCCACCTGGATGTACATAACAAATCCCAACCCACCGCAATCCAAGTGTCTGGCACTAAGGGAGTCTCGGTTGCTATGTGGGGCATTAAAATCACCTACCACAATAAGCTTTTTGTTTTCACGTTTTTCTATAATCCGTCAACATATCTGTTCCTCTTTCTCCAGCTCACTGTTGGGAGGCTTGTAGTACAACCCTGTCCAAGTCCTTTTCCTAATCTCCATCTGTACGGCCTCGCTCGATGAGCCCTCTTCCCTCATTACAGCTGTGATATTCTCCCTAATCAGTAATGCAACTCTCCCACCTCTTTTACATCCCTCTCTTTCTCATTTAAAGAAAGATGAAAACCTCTAAATCCTGGAATGTTAAGCTGTCAGTCTTGTCTCTCTCGCAACCAAGTCTCCGTAATAGCTACAACATCATCATTCTGTGCATTAATCCAAGCTGTAAGTTCGTCTGATTTACCTGTTCTACTCCTTGTGTTAAAACCCATACTCTCAGACTGCTAATCCTACCATGTTCGGTAAAATCTCCGTTTATTCTTCCTCTAAGTCTGGCTGCCCTTTGTATCCAGCTGTTCCTCAGTGATTTTACTTGCTGACCACCTGCACTGGCTCCCATTCCCTGCCACACTAGTTTAAACCTCCCAAGTGACACTAGTGTACCTCCCTGCCAGGATAGTGGTTCTCCTCCAGTTTAGGTGAAACCCCTTCCCCTTGTGCAGGTCTTACCCATCCTGGAAGATATCCCAATGATCATCATATCTGAAGCCCTCCCTCCTACACCAGCACTTTAGCCACAAATTTAATTGTACTATCTTCCTATTACCAGCCTCACTGGCATGTGGCACAGGGCATACTTCTAAGATTACACTTGTAGAGGCTCTGCTTTTCAACTTACTACCTAACTCCCTTTGCAGGACCTTGTCACTCTTCCTGCAGCGCACCATCCTAGAGTCCCTTTTGTGGCAACAGCAACATACATCTGTGCCCCTGACTGTGGAGTTATCTATTACTACTGCTCTTCTGCCCTTTGACCCTCCCTGTTGTACGATAGGACTAGCTGTGGTGGCACTGCTCTGGCCGCTGTTGCCATCCCCTTATTTACCATCACTCCAACAGTGTTCAAAGTAGTATTGAGGGGGATAGCCATAAGGGCCTTCTGCATTGACTGTCTGCCTGCCTAATCTAGTGGCCACCCATCTATCTGTCTGAACTTCTGATGTGACCATGTCTCTAAACCTCCTGTCCATGATGCTTTCTGCCTCCTGCATGCTACTTAGTGCGTCCAACTGCTGCTTCAACCGATCCAAGCGATCCTTGTTGCCTTTGAACACTATCAATCAGAAACCTGTGCCTCACTACATATGTTACTTCCAGGGATTTCTTGCTGCTGGTGAAATCGATCCATTGAACAGAAGGTTTTCAACTATACCTAGACCAGATGTTGTAGTCCAAGGTACGCTTTTGAACTAATTTCTATTTAAGTAACCTTTTATAATAGTATTCTAATTTGGACTGACCTGTATAACTTGTATTTTTAAAATTACCTATAAATCAGCTTAATGCAATATGGAGTGATTGAATTATGTATTATTCAACAGTAATGAAGAAATAATTCCAATACAGGCCATGCTTTTATATTAAATATGCACGAGATATTTGTAGAAATAGCTGGCAAAATTCAGCAATTCAAAATTCAGGTCTGGCAGCATCTGTGGAGAGAAAACAGAATTAAGATTTCATGTCCAGTGACCCTTCTTCGGAACCTTCAGGCATTCTGAAGAAGAGTCACTGGACCTGAAATGTTAACTCTGCTTTCTGTCCACAGATGCTGCCAGATCTGCTGAGTTTTCCCAGTCATTTATGTTTTTATCTCTGATTTCCAGCATCCACAGTTCTTCTGTTTTTTTGAGATTTTTGTAGACTGGTTAATTCCGAAGTTTATCTTCCCAGTATTATTCTGAGCGTAGTATCTTGGTTTGGCCATGTTATATTAAAGTTAGAATTAAGAAGAGAACTTTGTATAGGTAAATTAAAACATGAAGCCCTTTGTGTGTTTGACATTTGATATTTGCTATTATTTTAATTGCAACCTAAGTGTAATAGCTGGTTTAGGTGTTGTCATATCACAAAATTGGCCTATTCCTTTGGTTTTCTTAGATCGAGAGGTAAAAATGAAAGGTAGATACTAATTAAGTTAATTCCAAGTGACATTCTGAAATGAGGCTTGACAAAATCCTGGGAATGATCTCAATATTTTGTGTATTAGAGCTAGTTTGGCCTTAATAACAGTCCAGCAGGCGTCCTGAAGACGTGTGCTCCAGAACTTGCTGCACCCACAGCCAAGCTATTCTAGTAGAGCTCCAACATTGGCACCTACCCGACAATATGGAAAGTTGTCCAGATATGTCCTGCACACAGAAAGAAGAATCGATCCAGCCAAGCCAATTACTTGCCCATCAGTCTGCTCTTGATCATTAGTAAAGTGATGGAAGGTGTCTGCAAAAGTGATATCAAGTAACACTTGCTCAGTAATAAACTGCTCACTTGTTGACAGTTTGGCTTATGTTGAGGCCACTCAGCCCCTGATCTTGTTACAGCCTTAGTTCAAATATGGATAGAAGATCTGAATTTCAGAGGTGAGGTGAGAGTGCCTGCCCTTGACATCGAAGTTGCGCTTGAGCAAGCATCAAGGAGCCCTCCTAACATTACAATGAAAATCAGGAGGAAAAGTCTCCACTGGTTGGAGTCATGCTCAATGCACAGGAAGATGGTTATGGTTGTAAAAGATCAGTTATCTCAGTTCCTGGATATCTCTGCTGGAGTTCCTTTAAAGCAGTGTCCTAGGCCCAACCACCTTCAGCCACCTCACCAATGACCTTTTCTTCATCACAAGGCCAGAAGTGGGTAATGTTCACTGTATAATGTTCTTCTTCATTCATAACTCCTCAGATATTGAAGCGGTCTATGTCCAAATGCAGCAACACCTGGATAATATCCAGGTTCGGGTTGACAAGTGGGAAGTAACTTTCATGTCACACAAATGCCAGGAAATTGCCGTCTCCATCGAGAGCGAATCTAGCCATTGCCCCTTATCATCATCAAATCCCCTTCAGTCGACATTCTGGAGGTTGCTATTGAAATTTAACTGGACTAGCCATATAAGTATTGTGGCTACAAAAGAAGGTCAAAGGTTAGGAATCCTGCAGTGAGTAACTCAACTTTTGACTCGCCAAAGCCTGTCCATTATCTACCAGGCATGAATCAAGTGTGTGATGGAATACTGCTCATTTGCCTGAATGAGTGCAGCTCCAACAGCACTCAAGATTGCCACTGTCCAGGACACAGCAGCCTGCTTGACTGGCATCCACTCGCTCCACCACTGATACCCATACTATCTATAAGATGCACTATAGAGATTTACCAAGGTCCTTAGATGGCACCTTCCAAACCTATGACTACTACCATCTAGAATGTAAAGGCCAGCAAATACATGGAAAAATCACTAGTAAGTTCCCATCCAAGCCACTCACCATTTGGACTTAGAAATCTATCACCTTTCCTTCAGTTTCACTGGGTCAAAATCCTGGAACTCTATCAGCAATGGCCTTGTGGATGTACCTACACAAAATGGACTACAGAAGTTCAAGAATACAGCTCACGACCACCATCTTGAGGCCAAATAGGGACAGACAATAAATGCAGGCCCAGCCACTGACACCTACATTTTCTGAATGAATCTTAAAAATAGTGCTGCACCAGCAAAACTCTTTCAGTGCAGCTCCTACTGACATCTACCAATGTGGATGAATATTCCAATGTGTGCTGTTCACAATTAGCAAACCTATAGTCCTGCCGTTTACTGTGCAACATTCATTCACCCAATCATTGGTAAAGTGATAGGTATTTGACGAGACAAATCATATCCATAAATAACCAGTTCACCAATGATTATTTTAGGTTCTATCAGAGCATTTTTTGGCTCTTGATTTCATCACAGCAGCTTTGATCCAGATGTGGATGCAAAAGCTGCTGTGATGAAATGGAAGTGTAAGTAGCTGTAGTCAATATCAAAGCTGAAAAAATCCTTAGAAAACTGTATTAAATATGAATAAAAAGCAAAACCACAATTGCTGGAGTCCGCAGATGGTTGTGAATTTGAAGGTCGTACATAGTGGCACTTGACCTGTGCAGATGATTATCGTGAGTTCAGCAATGGGTTTAATTTCTTCATGATTCAGTTTCATTCATAACTCCTCTGACAATTAAGCAACTTATACTAGCAGGATCTGAATAAGGTATACAGTTGGACTGACAAGTAGCATTTAAATTGACATGATAAACGTTCCAATTAATGGCCACTATGAAGAAGAATAAGTCGAATCATCGTCCCTTGACCTTCAATGGCAACACTGTTACTTAAGTCTCTGGACATGAACCTGGCTAACATTTGAAAAGCATCTTCATTTTGTTCCCTTTAAAATGCCTTTCCATTTAATTTCAGTGGCAATAGTTGCAGAAACTGTGGCAATAAAGGAAATCCTAGAGAAGCATGGAATTAATGTACAAACTGTAGCAGAAATTTTTCCAATCAGACTGCAGCCAGCTCGTATTCTTTCTCGCATCTATACAAGACTGGGTAAGAAAATCTTGCAAGTTAGTTACATTGCATATGGGAGCACTGGGATTGTTACATCTCAGTCCATTAAACTTCAGTCATTTACTGGATATTAATGCTATGGTAGGTAGCAGGAATGAAGGTAACTTAGGAAAAATATGAATGGGCAACCAAACGTTTTTCATAATGTTAACGCTGAAAAGAACACTTGCCCAATTTGAGTGCATGGCCTCAATATTAAATTATAAAATAACATGTAGCTAAAAAACATAAGGCTGCCTATATATATATATACAGTACATGTCTTTTATTCTCCAAGTTAGGGCAAAAATGGCAGCAAGCAAAGAGCATCAGACCTATCCAGCCAGACATTTGAGCCCTGGCCATGTCGTGGCCGATTTTAATAGGCTGCAATGTTTGTGCAACTCCCACCGCCCAGCTAACAAGTGAGGGCAATGGGAAGAAGACTGTCCCTGCTCTGCACAGCCAGTAATTAACTTCTGCCACTCAGCAAATGCCTCGGAAATATGCGGGCCAAGCAGAGGCAGTGACTACTGCAAGTACTGCAGCGAGTCTTGTAGGAAAGTATATTGACCCTGGAGCCAGGACAACAGGTAATTCTGGGGAGTTTACCGGTTTGTTGTCTAAAGCAAATGTTATAAAGTGGCGGTTGACCCCCGCTGAGAACTAAAACTGAAACACCCAAAGGGGAGTGTCTCGCCCTATAATCTGTTTAAGGAATGTAAAAAGGGGTGTAACCTGCTTTACAGCAACTTCTTGTGGTTAAATAAAATAAATCCCTGACACTCACTTTATAATCAACAAGTAACAATTTATTTATCTAACTCTAACAATGAACAAATTAACTAAACTATTAACAAACAAACCCCTCCTAACTACTAACCATTCCCAAATAAATCAAGATTCTAATGGTATGGTGTTCCAATAATAACAAGGCCCACTTAAAAAAAAAAAAAAAAATGTAGTCTCTTGAAAATATAGCCGGTTTATGTATCTTCCAGAATGTTCTGTGCCTTCTCCGTCGATTCTTCTGTCAGGAATGTTAACTAGTTGTGTTATGGGTACCTTTTGGTATTTAGATGGCACTTTCTCCAAGACTTAGAGGAGACTGTGAGACTCGGCGATTCTCTCTTGCAAGCTGAGGGATGTTAACTCTGGCAGATGGCAGTTAGCTCTCTGCTGTTTTTGTCCAGCTGTCTCTTCTCTTATACCCTTGATGACATATCAGTTTCTTATAATAGGATTGGTCCTATGTTGTCAAAACCATCCGATTTAAATTTGATTGATTGTTTTGTATCTAAGTGCCTGGTTCAAATTGATTGGCTAAATTCAGAACTTGTTATCTTGGTAAAAACTGCTGCTTGGCCTGCTAACTGTATGGCCTTTTGATACAAATGTTTCAATTCAGAGTTCTCTGCGTTCTTGCAAACTTTCATGCTGCTGCTCACAGACAACCTTTTTAGCATAGAAAAAGCACATCATCTTTTAGAGGGGCCACACAATGCCTCCCCCTCCCCCCTAGCATTTTTCAAACACCAAGTTCTAACTTCCTGCCTCCCAATCTACAAGTACTCTACCCAACTTAGAACATAGAACATTACAGCGCAGTACAGGCCCTTCGGCCCTCGATGTTGCGCCGACCTGTGAAACCAATCTGAAGCCCATCTAACCTAAACTATTCCATTATCATCCATATGTTTATCCAATGACCATTTAAATGCCCTTAAAGTGGGCGAGTCTACTATTTTTGCAGGCAGGGCATTCCACGCCCTTACTACTGAGTAAAGAACCTACCTCTGACATCTGTCCTATATCTATCACCCCTCAATTTAAAGCTATGTCCCCTCATGCTAGCCATCACCATCCGAGGAAAAAGGCTCCCACTGTCCACCCTATCTAATCCTCTGATCATTGTATGTCTCTATCAAGTCACCTCTTAACCTTCTTCTCTCTAACGAAAACAGCCTCAAGACCCTCAGCCTTTCCTCATAAGATCTTCCCTCCATACCGGGCAACATCCTGGTAAATCTCCTCTGCACCCTTTCCAATGCTTCCACATCCTTCCTATAATGCGGTGACCAGAACTGTACGCAATACTCCAAGTGCGGCCGCACCAGAGTTTTGTACAGCTGCAACATGACCTCATGGCTCTGAAACTCAATCCCTCTACCAATAAAACGTAACATACCGTACGCCTTCTTAACAACGCTATCAACCTGGGTGACAACTTTCAGTGATCTATGCACGTGGACACCGAGATCTTTCTGCTCATCCACACTACCAAGAATCTTACCATTAGCCCAGTACTCTGTATTCCTGTTACTCCTTCCAAAGTGAATCACCTCACACTTTTCCACATTAAACTCCATTTGCCACCTCTCAGCCCAGCTCTGCAGCTTATCTATATCCCTCTGTAACCTGCAACATCCTTCCGCACTATCCACAACTCCACCGACTTTGGTGTCATCCACAAATTTACTAACCCATCCTTCTACGCCCTCGTCCAGGTCATTTATAAAAATGACAAACAGCAGTGGCCCCAAAACAGATCCTTGAGGTATACCACTAGTAACTGAACTCCAGGATGAACATTTCCCATCAACCACCACCCTCTGTCTTCTTACAGCTAGCCAATTTCTAATCCAAACCGCTAAATCACCCTCAATCCCATGCCTCCGTATTTTCTGCAATAGCCTACCATGGGGGAACCTTATCAAACGCTTTACTGAAATCCAAATACACCACATCAACCGCTTTACCCTCATCCATCTGTTTGGTCACCTTCTCAAAGAACTCAATAAGGTTTGTGAGGCACGACCTCCCCTTCACAAAACCGTGTTGACTATCCCTAATCAAATTATTCCTTTCTAGATGATTATAAATCCTATCTCTTATCTTTTCCGATACTTTACCCACAACCGAAGTAAGGCTCACTGGTCTATAATTACCAGGGTTGTCTCTACTCCCCTTCTTGAACAAGGGGACAACATTTGCTAGTCTCCAGTCTTCTGGCACTATTCCTGAAGACAATGACGACGTAAAGATCAAAGCCAAAGGCTCTGCAATCTCCTCTCTAGCTTCCCAGAGAATTCTAGGATAAATCCCATCCGGCCCAGGTGACTTATCTATTTTCACACCTTCCAGAATTGCTAACACCTCCTCCTTATGAACCTCAATCCCGTCTAGTCTAATAGCCTGTATCTCAGTATTCTCCTCGACTACATTGTCTGTCTTTTTCCTGTGTGACTACTGACGAAAAATATTCATTTAGCACCTCTCCTATCTCTTCGGACTCCACGCACAACTTCCCACTACTGTCCTTGACCGGCCCCAATCTTACTCTAGTCATTCTTTTATTCCTGACATACCTATAGAAAGCTTTAGGGTTTTCCTTGATCCTACCTGCTAAAGACTTCTCATGTCCCCTCCTGGCTCTTCTTAGCTCTCTCTTTAGGTCCTTCCTGGCTAACTTGTAACTCTCAAGCGCCCTAACTGAGCCTTCACGCCTCATCTCTACATAGGCCTCCTTCTTCCTCTTGACAAGAGATTCAACTTCTTTAGTAAACCACGGTTCCCTCGCTCGACCACTTCCTCCCTGCCTGACAGGTACGTACATACTTCACAACACATATTCTTTAATTGGAGATCAAAACTGGGTGCAACGTTCTAGGTTTAAGGATGCATGGCTTGGTCTTTAAGACATGACTGACACACAGGTCTAACCTTATTGACAGGTTACAATAAGAGAATGATGCTGAGTGGTCGGCCTTACCGCCATATGGGTGTTCTTGGCACATCAAAATTGTATTTTATCAGGGATGAAATCTTTGCTTTCACTCCTCAGGTAAGCGCAGATTCACCTCAGTTTTAAAATTTCATTTCAGATGTGTGTTTTAAGTTTCTTCTAATGAATGAAATTCCTCCTTTCGGTGTAAAATGCAAAGTCTAAAGTTCCCAGGCTCTTCCCTGATAGCATGAGATTACAAATGTGATTGAAATATAGGGACAGGAATTCCTATTCATGTATCCCTCAATATCTTAGGTTTAAAAAAAGTTAGAAATCTCAGATATAAAATAACAATTGGTCCAATATTCAACTATTGTTTGTGTGAGAAATTTCCAAAATTCTACCACCCTGTAAGTGTAGGAGTGTTTCCTAACTTGGTTCCTGAAAGACATGGCTCTAATTTTTAGGTTTTACGTTTCCTAGACTATTCTATTTCCAATGCTTGGTGAATCAATACTCTCTGTCTCTCCTACTTTTTTTCTGCACTTTAACACCAGGTCGAACCAGGGCTTTGAATAATTGAGATAGCAAGAACTGCAGATGCTGGGGAAGGTATGGACCGTATTCTGCCTTGGGAGCCTACAGCCTGATGGCTTAAACATGGAATTCACCAAATTTAAAATCTCTCCAACCTCGGCATCATCCGATGTCCATCCCTCCCTCTTATCCCCCCCTCCTTGAGCTGACACAACCTATCCATCTTCTCTCCCACCTATCTGCCCCTCCCATCCCACTGACCAATTCCCACCACTCCCTACCTGTGCTCACCTATCACCATCCCACCTACCTTCCCAACCCCACCCCTCCTCTCCCCATTTAGTTCTGAGCTCCCTTCCCCCTCCCCATTTCTGAAGAAGGATCCTGACCCGAAATGTCAACTTTCCTGCTCCTCTGATGCTGTCTGGCCTGCTGTGTTCTTCCAACTCCACACTGTATTATCCCACATTCTGGTCACAGTCAGCCAACTAAAATACATGCCTTCTATCCCTGCGTTCTCTTCCCTATAGGGTAGTCAGTGTGCCTGGTTTTTGAATTTAAAGTTTAGCTAACAAACTCTTGTGAGGGTCTTCATTAAATGCATCATGGTAATCATATATGTAACATTCATAGATTTTTACTTTTCCACTACTTTGATTACCTTACAAAAAAAAATACTCTGCCACCTTCTTTGGACATGATTACTTCTATGCAAATACTCAGGTAAGCAAAGGTGTTTCAAGATGTTCAGTCACTCTGTCCTTAATTGTAAGTGCTAGTACAATTAGAAACAAATCTTACATTAACAGGTCTATAATATCCATGTTTTTCTCTTTTACCTTTCTGAAATAACTAAGTGACACTTCAATTTTCTAGTCTCTAGGTGATTCTTTGAACAGAGCTTTTATACTTGTGCTTTTACTGGAGAAAGGCTAGGTGGCCAACTTGAACATTCCCAATTTCATATAACCTGCTCAGAATGTTGATCAGTGTTTTAAATTAGGTAGGAATCATATGCACCACCCTATCTCTGATGATTCTGTGATGCGGGTGCATGCAGCAACACATACAAGCTACATCATGTGAATATTGTCGTTACTGGAAAAAATATTTTTTTCTTCTGTACATCCAATCACTTTTAAAAATCATCTGTTTACAGTTTATTGATAAGCAGCAGTTCTACCTGGCGCTTGATAATCGAATGGTTGTTGAGATGCTTCGAACAGAATTGTCATACTTGTGTCGCTGCTGGAAAAATACTGGACGACCCACTGTGACGTTTCCAATTTCACAGAGCATGCTCAGTAAGTTAAGCACTTCAATTTCTATAATAGGTTGGAAATATCTGTAACCTATTCTTTAAAAAATACTCCTCAAATATTTAATCCTATTATCATGAAACTGGCATTTGGTTCCAAAGACATTGACAGCAGTCTGATATCCACGCAGCTCCAGTGGTTTGTTCAATCAGCCAATGGATATCGAGTAACTATGAATTGTGTGCGGCCTCCTAGCTGATCCTGATTTTATCAAAACCTACCATTTAAATCCATGTGCTAACAAAAATGTGCTAGATTGTGATCAGTGTTATGATCATTCCTCAGGCAAGCTTCCCCAGTTTGTTACATTTCAGATAGGATATTCCAAATCATTAAGCACTCTGGTGAGGAGTGATGAGTTTCTTTGCTGACCCTTGGTTAGTTGCAATAACATTTATTTAAAAAGGATCCCTACCATTGTGAATGCCTTACTCACAGGCCAGTTGAAGTTGTTTTAAACGGAGCCAGTTTAACCTCCTTTAACCAGTTTAAAGAGTCAAGTATTTGAGGCAATTCATGAAACACATGGTTTTGAGGGTGAACCTGATGAGGATGAACTGCAAGAAAATATGTTGATGGTCAAAGGTGCAAGTTGGCCTGTGAGTATCTCAATTGCTGATTCATTATGGCTGTACCTCAACAATGCATGGAGTTAATTAGCTGAGCTGTTAGTTGGAAATCATGTACAAAACTAATAAAAATAGTGTCAAATAATATGAAAGCACTACCTGCTTTACATTCAAGAATTATAATTTATTGCCATCTTTTAAACAGAGGGGTTCTCCTGTGTGAAATTGCAGGACTGTCATTTCGTCAATGCTAGTATTCAAACTGACATACCATTATAGCTGAATAAATCTTCAGCAAAAAAGTGAAACTGTATTTAAACATGGATAATGATAAAGCATTTGTACTTGGTAAATCTGTAAACTTGCAATTAATTGGATATGGACATTTTTGTATTCTGTTGAGGAAACTCAATGTTTGAGGTGTTGTTGAGCTCTGCAGGAGTCTGACCAACAAAAAGAAGATTAGTTGGAAGTTGCTTAGACGTAAGCTTGTACCTTATCAGATGCCAGACTTTGATGAGGAAGTGGAAGGGTGGGTTAGTAAGTTTGCTAATGACACGAAGATTGGTGGAGTTGTCGATAGTGTGAAGGGCAGTTGTAGGTTGCAGTGGGACATTGACAGCTTGCAGAGCTGGGCAAAGAAGTGGCAGATGGAATTCAACGCGGAAAAGTGTGAAGTGACTCTTTTTGGAAGGCGAGTTGGAATGCAGAATACAGGGTTAATGGCAGGATTCTTGGCAGTGTGGAGGAACGGAGGTATCTTGGGGTCCACGTCCATAGATCCCTCAAAGTTGCCACCCAAGTTGATAAGGTTTTTAAAAAGGCGTATGGTGTATTGGCTTTCATTATCAAGGGAATTGAATTTTAAGAGCCGCAAGGTTATGCTGCAGCTCTATAAAAACCTGGTTCGACCACAATTGGAATATTGTGTTCAGTTCCGGTCGGATCATTATAGAAGGATGTGGAAGCTTTAGAGAGGGTGCAGAGGAGATTTACCAGGATGCTGCCTGGACTGGAGGGCAGGTCTTATGAGGAAAGTGGAGGGAGCTAGGGCTTTTTTCATTGGAGTGAAGAAGGACGAGAGGTGACTTGATAGAGATGTACAAGATGATGAGAGGCATAGATAGAGTGGATACCCAGAGACTTTTTCCCAGGGCAGAAATGGCTATTACGAGGGCGCATAATTTGAAGGTGATTGGAGGAAGGTATAGGAGAGAAGTCCGAGGTAGGTTCTTTACACAGAGTGGTGAGTGCATGGAATGCGCTGCCGGTGGTGGCAGTGAAGTCAGATACGTCATGGACATTTAAGTGACTCTTGGATAGGAACATGGACAATAGTAAAATGTAGAATATGCAGAGTAGTTTGATCTTAGAATAGGATAATAGTTCGGCACAACATCGTGGGCCGAAGGGCCTGTACTGTGCTGTACTGTTCTATATTCTATGTTCTGTCTGTTCCACATTGTAGATATAGTGACCAGGTTCAGCATATCCACACTGATGAACAGCAAAGACAGATGGGCTATTGTGGATAAAGTCTTGGAAAAGTGAGCTGGCAAAGCCCTCAGTTCACCAACGAAATTCTTAACAAATAATGGCCATGAATTTATGAATTATAAATTTTGGGACATGTTTGAGAACTTAAATATTACAATATTGTATATGGCTGTGGAAATTCCATTCAGCAATAGCTTGTGAAAAATAAATTATGCAATAGTTAATGAGATGTAGCACAAAATACAGGCAGAACAGCTTACTGTAAGTTACAAACAGTTCTAGCATGATGCACTAAGCATAAACAAATTCCTTATAGATAATTGGGAGGTTACGCTACACCAATTAGTATATGGCGAGAATCCAAAGTTGCTTTCAGTGCTGCATGACAATCCTCCAGCATTAGAAAGAACAATGATTTGATCTATTTTTTTCCACCCATCAAAATGTATTATATGATGGCAGAAAAGCATTCATCAAAACTTGTGTTATCAGAAGATATTAGAATGCTGAGAGATTGTGTCAAAGTGTCATTGGGCAACTTCATTTCTGGTCATGTGGTTTACTATAAGAGAAGGACATGGAGTGAAAATAGCCAGGAAAGCTTTTTGGACATGACGGGCAACAATACAACATGGGAATCAGAATATAAAAGCACATTCTACATGAGTAGCAGGGATGAACTATGAATTTTCAAACTCTGAGAATGTGGGAGATGGTAGTGATGATGCTCTATGTACCCATGAGTTCTATAACTTGGAGTCCGAAGGGCTGGAGTTCAGAGCCTAGGAAACGTAACTGATACATGTACCAATAGTGAAGAATGTGGAAAGACGTAATTTAATGCAAGGATTACTCAGATAATGGACGAATCAAGAGTCAGATGACTGGAGGGAGACCACAATAGTGGGATGTACAGGGCGGTCGACAGGCAAATATTTAATCAGTTTTTATATCAAGATGATTGACAGAAGTGAAGGTCATGGATTGGCAGCAGACAGTAGGAATATGAAAAATGTAGTCCAAGTTAGAGCACTGATTCAGAAGATAACTTTAGGAGGAAAATCGAAAGCAGTTCTAGTAGATCCCAATTCTAGGAGATTGGAGTAGGCCAGAGAACTTTGGAGAAAAGAGGCTGCTGCTGAACAATGTGATATTCTAGTACTGGTAAAGGAGTTCATTCTCTGACAAAAGATAATCCAAGAAGTCCCCCTGTTTTGAGAGGCGTTTATAGCTACAAATAGAATGGAAGTTGTACCTTGTCTCGTAGATCTGAACAGAAATTTTCCAACTAGAGCTGATCTATAAGGCCAAGGCTACGTTTGTAGCTGGAAGTTTTGAGGGCTGGTTGAGAAACGGAAATTAGAGTAGCCTCTCTTACAGTTGGGAAAGCAATTTAGAAGATCTGTTTAGCTATTCTAACAACCTTTTCTTACAAGTGTAGCTATATAGATATCAAAACAATTTTCCTTCAGGGTAACCTGTTGGACAGGTAAGTTTTATTTTTGAACCCCAGATGAAAAAAAGCGGCAAGAATAGAAGGGAAGCTCTGGAAATTGAAAAAATGAAAATATTTTAAATCAACCCGTTCACATTTGTTATGACACCCTCCCAGAGCTAGTGGGACCCAGGCTTTCTGGCTCACAGGTCGGGACACTACCACATTCTGGTTAAATAATGCTGCTCAGGTGTGGTATTTTTCAGTCGGGTATTCTTTTAACATTGGGGTGTTCACACCCGAAGGAAGACCTAGCTCTATAATGGAATTTACACTTTGGGGAATTTAACAATGTTAAATTCCCCAACGCCAGTTAGAAATTTAGCCTGTGCTAAGGATCCATTCCCCATTCATTTCTCCGTTCCATTGTTCATTATTGCTGTTTTATCTACTACATATTTATTATAGACTGAATGTATCTAATTGCAAACTTGCAAATTATTTTTTTCTTTTGCTGAAGGTAAACTCACTATGGGTCACAATGGTGTCCTTTCGGTTCAAACATATTTATTGCTGAGCTCCTCTCTAAGTTTAGTGTACTCTCCTTTCCACTTGTTAGGAATTCTAATAAAAGATACCAGTGAGAAGGTGGATTGTCTGTCATTTTCAGATTATTGACCTGATCTCCTTTAAACTCTTAACTTTTCTATAGAATAAACTACTTCTTAAGTTTTATCAAGGTTTGACTGTGCTTCATACACAAAATGATTCATCTTTCTAATAAGCTGTGTCCACTTTGTGAGCATGTAGGTCTGAGAGATTTTGACACCTGATTTTGCTTCTAGTGGAAAGCAATACTGCTAAAGCCATGCTTTTTTTTTATTGGTAAGGACCTAACCTGTGTCCACACATCCACTTCATTTTTAATTGATAGTAAGATTCAGTTTTACAAAACATCTGTAGGAAGTCAGACCCTGACATGTTGCATCTGCTTTCAGCCATTCTTTTCTAACTCCTTCTAACAATCTTCTGTCTGAAAAGAACTCTTAATTTCCTGTATTCATTTTTAAACTGCAATTCTCTGCTATCAGTGTAAATTTGGATCCAAGCCTGTCAGTGAGACAGAAACCAATACACGTTTACTTGTGGACAGATTTTGTTAACTACTCAGTCCTATTTATTTTCGAAACAAACTTATTCAGACCTCTGGAGCAGGTAGGACTTTAACCGAGATCTTGTAGCTCAGAGGGAGGAACACTACCACTGCACGCAAGAGCTATCACTACTCAGTCCTTTTTTAATTAACCTGTTTAGCAATGTTATTAGACACTGCGAGAGCAGGTAAGATATGAACCTGGGCATCCTGGCTCAGGTGTGGACACTAGCATTGTGCCCAGGAGTCCTTTGCTCCTTTTTATATCTCTGAGATTAATTAATTGAGCAATCAGTTGCTTAATTACTTTCTATATTAACAGTCATTCACTAAGCCTCCTTTCTCTGGGCCAGAAGGTCTGGTTTGAGTCCCATCTGCAATGGAGATGTTGTATTAAATTCACACATTGTTGATTTAAAAGCAGTTATTTACTCGCATACCAGGTTTTATAGTTGGTAATTCTGCACCACCCTGCCAAATCAGATTTCATTCTTTCCTGTGTTTCGTATATTGTTTGGCCCTCATATTAACAAGACCATAGTACTCACTTGAGGCTGAGCAATTATTGACAGCTAAGAAACGCAATGGAAATCTGTCAGTTGGAAAATGAGATGGAGGTTTGTTTTTGGCAGTCAAATGCAGATTGCAACTATTCTCATTTAAATGATTATCTTTTTATATGAAAATATTAAAATTACA